ATTGCTTGATGGCAATGTTGCGAAGGTATTGCTCTGAAGGACTACAGACGATCCCGTTATCAAGAACTGGCACGACCACTATTGGTTCGACCTCCAACTGTGACTTTGCTATACCTGTATGTTCGAAACAATATTTGTATTCTCTCACTTCGAATATTTCCTGGAAAATATAGTCTTAGTTTAGTAACCTTAGCATATTTCTCACGTTTCGCACATAAGTTAGTCGAAGACTGCAAATCTGATAGTAAACAATCCATCTGATCGTAAAGAATTTCAGAATTTTTCACACGGAAAATTCAACGAAGGATTTGAAAAAACTATGTATTTGATATGAAATTATGGAGATATTGCAAGTTTAGAATTGCTGATCGAGTAATCATGTGAAACACGGAAAAATCTCAAAAATTTCGCAATGCTAACTGAAATTTTGCAAAATCAATCGCATTCCTCTATTGGTACCATCCGGACAACACTCCAACCAACTACGCAAGCAATCAAGCACTATTATCTGTTATTATGTGTGATTAAAGGGAGATATATGTCGAGTGTTTCGTTTCTTACATTCGAATGTTTAATGCTGAGAATTACAGGATGAAAGTTTATCGTCACAACATGCCGTGATTGATTTCAATCCAATTTCAAGAACTTATTGGCTGAAAGATTGCGGTACTGTGGCTGGTACATACCTGAACAGTGAAGCGGTTGTTAAGAAAACCCAAATAAAAAGCGGTGATGTGATCAGATTCGGTTATGGAGCCGAATTCGTCTTTGAGATCAACACTAACACGTATCCATTGCTAGTTAAAGTATATAGCTTGATTGCCTTGCTGATTGATCTCTTCTCACTGTCCCTATCTTAATTGCATTAATTGCAACATGAAACCATGCGATTTACGGAAAATGGTAAAACATTCGTATTCTCGTCGTTATTATCAATTGTGTTGCTGTGAGGAATGCTGTTGTGTTCATCGCAACAATGTTTTGCTTAATCAGTATTTTTGTTGCTATTACTCCAAATAATTTATGACCACTGCTTTCATAGTTATACGCATGATTTCCCAAACGATAAGACTGGCCGAACACCTGTATAAGT